TAATAGAGAGCCCAGAAATAAACCCACACCACACCTTCTTGGTCAATTAGGGTTTGACAAAGAAGTAACAGCAGTCTTGAGAAAGAACAAAGTTGGAGGAATCACACTACCTAATATCAAACTATGCTATAAGGCCATAGTAATCAAAGCATCATGATACTGGCATAAAAACAGACATATACTAGTAGATCAATGGAACATAATAGAGAGCCCAGAAATAAACCCACACCACACCTTCTTGGTCAATTAGGGTTTGACAAAGGAGGCAAGAACATCCAATGGGATAAAGACAATCTGTTCAATAAATTGCGTTGAGAAAATTGGACAGATACATGCAAAAATATGAAACTAGACCACCTTCTTATACCATATACAAGAATAAACTCAAAATAGATTAAAAACTTAAATGTAAGAGTCAAAACCATAAATATCCTAGAAGAAAACATGGTCTTGGACATTTCTCATAGCAATATTTTTTTTTCTGATATATCTCCTCAGGCAAGGGAAACAAAATAAAAAATAAATTGGACTACATCAAACTAAAAAGTTTTTGCACAGCAAAGAAAACCATCAACAAAATGAAAAGACAACCCAACCACTGAATGGGAGAACATATTTGCCAGTTATACATCTGCTAAGGAGTTAATATCCAAAATTTATATAGAACTTATCCAACTCAATACACAAAAGAACAAACAATCCAATTTAAAAATGGGCAAAGAATCTAAATAGACTCTTCTCCAAAGAGGATGTACAGATAGCCAATAGACATATGAAAAGATGCTCAAAGTCACTAATGATCAGAGAAATGCAAATTAAAACTGCAATAAGGTATTACCTCACACCTGCCAGATTGTCTATCATCAATAAATCAACAAAGAATCAGTGTTGGTGAGGATGTGGAGAAAAGAGAACCCTCTTGCACTGTTAGTGGGAATGCAGACTGGTGCAGCCACTGTGGAAAATAGTTTCCTCACAAAATTAAAACTAGAACTACCTTATAGTCCAGTGATTCCACTTCTGGAAATATATTCGAAGAAACCTGAAACACTAATTTGAAATAATATATGCACCCCTTTGTTCATTGCAGCATTATTTACAATAGCCAAGATTTGGAAGCAGCCCAAGTACCCATCAGTAGATGAATGGACACAAAAGCTGTAGTACATTTATACAATGGACTACTACTCGGCTGTAAAAAAGAAGGAAATCTTACCTTTTGTGACAGCATGGATGGACCTGAAAAGTCTTATGCTAAGTGAAATAAGCCAGTCAGAGAAAAACAAATATCATGTGATTTCATTTACATGTAGAATCTAATGAACAAAATAAACAAACAAAGTAGAAATAGACTCATAGATACAGAGAACAGAATGACAACTGTCAGAGGGGAGGGGAGGTGGGAGCCTGAGTGAAAAAAAGGTAAAAGTATTAAGAAAAAACCCGCAGAGAGTATGGTGACTATAAGAGGAAAATGGGGTGAAAGGAGGTAGGAGAGGGAAAAGAGGGGATAAATAGTAATGGAAAGAGATGACTTTGGATGGTGAACACACAATATACAGGTGAGGTGTTACAGAATTGTACACTTAAAACCTATATAATTTTATTAACTAATGTCACCCCAGTATATTCAATAAAAATGTTTATAAAATCAATTAAACTTGGATTTCATTTTCAAGAACACTGGTAGGCTATGATATTATAGCCTGGAGCTTCTCTCCAATTATTTTTAACTAGAGGCCCAGTGCACAAAATTCATGCATGGGAGGGGGGTGTCCCTCAGCCCGGCCTGCACCCCCTCCAATCCGGGACCCCTCAGGGGGTGTCCATAGGGATTGGGCCTAAACCGGCAGTCAGACATCCCTCTCAGAATCCAGGACCACTGGCTCTTAACCACTCACCTGCCTGCCTGCCTAATACCCCCAACTGCCCTCCCCTGCTGGCCTGGTCATCCCCAACTGCCCTCCCCTGCAGGCCAGTTCGCTCCCAACTGTCCTCCCCTGCCAGCCTGATCACCCCTAACCCCCTGCTAGCCTGATCTCACCCCAACTGCCTCCCCTGCTGGCCTGATCACCCCTAATGGCCTCTGCCTCGGCCCCCACCATCATGAATTTGTCCGGAAGGAAGTTGGACATCCAAAAGATGGCCAGCCAACCCAGTCTAATTAGCATATTACCCTTTTATTAGTATGATAATTTGATTGTTGACTCTTTTGGAGTTTCTATATGGACAATCTTATTATCTGCAAATAATAACAGTTTTACTTAGTCCTTTCCAATATTTAAGCCTTTATTTTTTCTTATTCTACTTGCTAGTTAGGAACTCCAGTGCAGTATTTAATAATAGTTGTGATAGTAGGCACCCTTGTTTTAAAGAAAATGCTATAAATATAGTCTTATTTGGATGATTATTTTGTTACCCTTTTGCAAGTTAAAGATATTTCTTCCTGCCCCTTTTCATTAAGTTTTTATCACTAGTCTTTGTTGAATTTCATCAAATGCTTCTTCTTTTTTTTTTTAATCCTTATTGGAGGAAATGTTTCCATTGAATTTAGAGAAAGAAAGGGGAGAGAGAGAGACAGAAAGAGAGAAACATTGATCAGTTGTCTCCATATATGCCCGACCAGGAATCAAACCCGCAAACTATGTGACCTGCTGGGGAACCGAACCTGCAACCTTTTGGTGTACAGGACGATGCTCCAATTAACTGAGCCACTCAGCCAGGGCTCATCAAATGCTTTTTTTTTTTTCATTTGTTGATAATCATATTTTTCTGTGTTAATTTACCATTGCAGTGAATGACACAGATTATCTAATCTTAAACTTGTTTGCATTCCTGGCATAAACCTAAAATTATGTGTTTTCTTTTTTATGTCCTTTGACTTTGTTTGTTCATTGTTTTCGTATCTTTCATCTATTTTTAAGAAGTGGAAAATAGTTGTACTCTTCTCAGATCCTTTCATATTCCTTACACTTTGTGTGCACCTCCAAGACTTCTGCATATTTTTGTTTCCAATAACCAGAACTTGCTGCTCTTTCTCAGAAGACTGCCTTGCCTGCAGGCTAATAGAACCCACTTTGCCCACAGGCTCAGAGAGGCAGAAGAGCCTAGGACTTTACATTTCCCTAAAATGATTTCTTAACCAATGAGTGGGGGAGAAGTCTGAAAGCCCTAGCCCCTTCTCCTCAGATCAAGACTGTTCTGAGTTCCCCTGGGGACCAGTCAGGAGCTACCCTCTGAGGGACTTTGCTCGAGATCACACCCTTGCTTCTCCCCTCCCTTCTGTGTTCTACTTCCTCCATTCTCTTCCTGTCTGGGAGAACTTTCTTTATAAATTACTCAAGCATAAATTCCTGACTTAAGTCTGTTTCTGAAAACAAATTAATGTGTGAAATGGGCCTGTATTTATTTTTTTCCTTTTCATACTGTTCTTGTCTGGTTTTGGACTCAGGGTTATAGTGACTTTACAAGAATGAGGTGAAGGGTGTTCTTTTTCTATTTTTATTTTTCCTAATTTCCAGTAGAGTTTGTATAAGATTTGATTGATCTGTCCTTTGAAAATTTAGTGTTACTTGCCTGTGATGAACCCAGGATATGAATATGTGGTGGGGGTGGAAGTCAGAGTCAGAGGAAGGATATAGTTAGATGTAGTGTTATTGTTTCAGTTTTAGCTTTTGTTTTGGGTGGTTGTCATTTAAAATGACTAACTAAAAGTGAGTCAAACATGAACAAGTAATGATGGAAAGAAACAAGGATTATGATTAATTAGATTCTGTGCACTTGAAGTCCATTAAGGAAATAAATATGTCACCTAAAATCTATGTTATCTGAAATTAATGTAGCTACTGCAGCTTTCTTTTGGTTAAGAGTTGCCTGATATATCTTTCTGATCCATTTACCTTCAACCCCTTCATGCCTGTACTGCCTGCCTCCCTGAGGATCTCAGAAATCTCCCTGCAAAGCCTAAAATAAAATTGCAAGAATTGCAATTCACTGCAACGTTTACAGTCTCCTTTTCAAACAAATTTCCCCTCATCGTCGCATTTCCCTTGTAATTGTCCCTCTGTGTGTAGGTCCATGTCCTTGTATCTTTTAGTCTGTCTCAAACTTTTACTTCCACGGAGAGTAAACAGATGGCTTGTTCTGGAACCTGGAGGGAATGGAAGGGGGGTTATTTAAGAAGGATTTTGGTCATGGTGTCTTCCCAACAATTAATTTTCCTAGAATCCCACAGATGTGTGCGTATGTGTGTGTGTGAGTGCACTTGCATGTTCACTGGTCCATAGGCATTTCTCCCCTTCATAGACACCATGAGGTAGAGTCTCTGGACCTTCCTCTGCCTGGAAGGGCCTAGAGCAGTGATTCCCAAAGTGGGCGCTACCGCCCCCTGGTGGGCGCTGCAGCAATCCAGGGGGGGGCGGTGATGGCCACAGGTGCATTTGGGGGCATATATCTTTCTGTGTAATTGCTATTAAAATTTTTAAAAAACTAATTTCCAGGGGGCGCTGAGTAATATTTTTTCTGGAAAGGGGGCGGTAGGCCAAATAAGTTTGGGAACCACTGGCCTAGAGCAATGGTTCTGAACCTGTGGGTCGCGCCCCCTTTGGGGGTTGAATGCCCCTTTCATAGGGGTCGCCTAAGACCATCGGAAAACACATATATAATTACATATTGTTTTTGTGATTAATCACTATGCTTTAATTATGTTCAATTTGTAACAATGGAAATACATCCTGCATATCAGATATTTGCATTACGATTCATAACAGTAGCAAAATTACAGTTATGAAGTAGCAATGAAAGTAATTTTATGGTTGGGGGTCACCACAACATGAGGAACTGTATTAAAGGGTTGCAGCATTAGGAAGGTTGAGAACCACTGGCCTAGAGTCTGCCACACTGGTCCTTGAGCCCAACATCTCCCCCTTATATGTGACAAAGGAGCTGTAAGACTGATCCCACAGCTGCAGCCCCTCACTTTTGTGCTCTCCATCTTCCAGGTGCCTTTCTCCAATTGCAGCCGAGTCTGCCTGGAAGGGACCAGGAAGGGAATCATTGAGGGGAAGCCCACCTGCTGCTTTGAGTGCGTGAAGTGTCCTGATGGGGAGTACAGCGATGAGATAGGTAACGGAACAGCCCTTTGTGGGCATCATGTAGAACTTTGGGGACCTGGGGTCAGTGAAGTCCCTCGAAGGGCTAGGCTGAGATGATGCTTAGCACAGTTTCTCATTTAACAAGGTATATCTGAGCATCATGCTGGGCTGGGCTCTGAGGGATAGAAAAGAAATGTTAGATGTCTTACAACACCATGAGAGTTTACAAACACACCTGTTACACATCTTCCTTTTGCTTTGATACTTCTTTCCAATATTGTTTTTCTTTTCTTTTAGCTCAGAGGCCCTGAATAGACAAACTTCTGTCTGTTCCAGGCTCCAGAGTTAATAGTCCATGACAGATGGCCTCTGGGCGCCTGGCACTGTACTTGCTGTCTTACTCATGTTTTTCCTGTGCCTCAGTTTCCTCACCTCTAAAGTGAGAATTAAATGAGTTAATATTGGTAAAGCACATGGTAAGTTCAAGGTAAATGTCTATTCAATAAAATCCTTGCTGAGCACATTGGAAGCACTCTATAAATATTAAGTATAATTGCTATTATCTCATTTCATCCTCCCCATAATTATGGGGTTATTATTGCTTCCAGTTCATACATGAGAAAACGGAGGCCCAAAGTTCATACAGCTAGTAAATGGCAGGGCCAGGATTCCCATCCAGCTCTCTGAGTGCAAAGCCCATGTTCCTTTCACTTCCCCAGACTTCATGGGCGAGGGACACACCAGAGACTTAATATACGTTCCTTGATTAAATGAGCCTATAGCCTCCTTCATTGGAAAGCCTTGGAGGAAGGCACAGGTCATACGTGTGAGAGACTCTACCTTGATCTGAGGATGTCTCCCTCTGGCATGTCTGCAAAGCCCATCCACATGTCCAGAATGAGTCAGGCTGAGCTTGAATCAGTCTGTGAAAAGTTGGTGGACTATGTCATACCTCTGGGCAGCCACCTGTCCAGCAAGATTGATCATTCTCTGCTGCAAACCATCAGCAGATAGTCTTAAAGGAAACATGTACCACACCCCCCCCCCATGTACAAAGGGGAAAAAACTATAGAATCATCAAAGGTACATGAAATTAAGTATAGAATTAAACATGTCAGAGTTCAGTATATTACTTGATCATGTAAAAATCACAATTCTCATCAGTAAGTACAATGTAAAGTGACCACACCCACTAGCCTGTGTACGCTCACCACCACATTCACACTCATAAGTTTTAGTCTATGCTGCTCGGTCACTCCCTCTTCGCTGGGACATTTTACAGATGCAAGTGCCTGCGACAAGTGCCCGGATGACTTCTGGTCCAGCGAGAACCACACTTCCTGCATCGCCAAGGAGATCGAGTTTCTGTCCTGGACGGAGCCCTTTGGGATCGCGCTCACCCTCTTCGCGGTGCTGGGCATTTTCCTGACGGCCTTCGTGCTGGGGGTCTTCATCAAGTTCCGCAACACGCCCATCGTCAAGGCCACCAACCGAGAGCTCTCCTACCTCCTCCTCTTCTCCCTGCTCTGCTGCTTCTCCAGCTCCTTGTTCTTCATCGGGGAGCCCCAGGACTGGACCTGCCGCCTGCGCCAGCCGGCCTTCGGCATCAGCTTCGTGCTCTGCATCTCCTGCATCCTGGTGAAAACCAACCGCGTCCTCCTGGTGTTCGAGGCCAAGATCCCCACCAGCTTCCACCGCAAGTGGTGGGGCCTCAACCTGCAGTTCCTGCTGGTCTTCCTCTGCACCTTCGTGCAGATCGTCATCTGTGTGATCTGGCTCTACACCGCGCCGCCCTCCAGCTACCGCAACCACGAGCTGGAGGATGAGATCATCTTCATCACCTGCCACGAGGGCTCGCTCATGGCGCTGGGCTTCCTGATCGGCTACACCTGCCTGCTGGCCGCCATCTGCTTCTTCTTCGCCTTCAAGTCCCGGAAGCTGCCGGAGAACTTCAACGAAGCCAAGTTCATCACCTTCAGCATGCTCATCTTCTTCATCGTCTGGATCTCCTTCATCCCGGCCTACGCCAGCACCTACGGCAAGTTCGTCTCTGCCGTGGAGGTGATCGCCATCCTGGCGGCCAGCTTCGGCTTGCTGGCCTGCATCTTCTTCAACAAGGTCTACATCATCCTCTTCAAGCCCTCCCGCAACACCATCGAGGAGGTGCGCTGCAGCACCGCGGCGCACGCCTTCAAGGTGGCGG